TCCATCCTCCACAGTTCTCTGCCTCAATATCTCTTTCTTGCTTTGTTTTCCCTCTCTATGTTCCTAAATGTGACCCTCTGGGCGGTCAGCGGTGCCGGAGACGGACCCGGAAATGATGGCTATGCTTTCCCGGGCCGCCGAGAGTGTCGGGCTCGAGTGGAACATTCCACCGCGTCCCGAACCCTCAAGGTTGGACGATTGGTTTCTCGGGGTGGCGCGCGCTGGTTCTCAGGGCCCCACTCCAGTGCCTTTCTTCCCGGAGGTGCATGATGAGATCGCTGGGTCATGGACGGCACCTTTTACTGCCAGAAACTGGCCCAGTGGCTCATCCTCCCTCACCACCCTCGATGGGGGTCCAGCGCGGGGGTACACGGGAGTCCCCCAGGTGGAACGGTCGGTTGCGATGCAATTGTGTCCAAATGCCGCTACCACTTGGCGGGGCAAACCGTTGCTCCCCTCCCGGACCTGTAGGCACTCGTCGGCCTTGATCGACACTGCCTATATGTCCTGTGGAGAAGCTGCGTCCGCCTTACACGCTTTGGCGTTATTGGAAGTGCACCAGGCCAAGGCACTGAGGGACTTGCACGAGGGTGGTCACGACCTGGAAGTTCTCAAGGAACTCCGCACCACGACGGACCTCGCGCTACAAGCGACGAAGGTTATGGCGCGGTCTCTGGGTCATGCCATGTCCACTATGGTGGTCCAGGAGCGCCATCTCTGGCTGTGTCTGGCCGACATGCGCGAGGCGGACAAGACAAGATTCCTGAACGCCCCCGTGTCCCAGACCGGCCTGTTCGGCGACACGGTGGAGAACTTCGCCCAGCAGTTCTCCGCCACCCAAAAGCAGACTGAGGCCATCAGGTACATCCTGCCACGGCGTGCAGCTGCTGCCTCCACCCGGCCGCCGGCGGCAGCGCCTCACCCCACTCGTCGCTGAGGGTGGCCCCCTGCCGCCGCCCTTGCTCCCGCGCAGCGTCCGCAGCAGCCTCCAGCAAGACCGTGCCGAGGAGCCGGCCGCAGGGCAGCCGCCCCGCCTGTTCAGGCCCCCGCCAGACATGGTGGTAAGCGAAGGTGCAAGAGGCCCTGAGACGGGCGACCCAGAGATGGAGGGAGTTGCTCTTCGGGAGATGGTGAACGCGCCACTCCCTCCCCCGGAGGAGGGCCGGGTGGAGAATCTTTTGTTTCCTTTTTTTCTGCCACTGGCCTCGCGGTCAGTGGTACCCAAATTCTCGACAAAAGAGCAATTTCTCCCTTCTCTGGGTCCCCTGAGGGGACGGGGGGCTGTGGACGGTCCAGAGCCGTATCACACTCACCCTCCTCTCTCGCCAGCGAGCAGCAGTGGGCGGATCGGGAGGACGAACCAACGGACTACCCACGCACCCTCTGCTCAAACGCAGGTCAGTGTTGCACACACCCAGACCCCGCCTCGGACCGGCAAAGAAACGCCCGGGCCGGGTCCCTGCGTTCTTTCACGCTGCCCCACTGCGGGTACGCCTGTAGTTCCGTTGATGCCACTTGCGCGGCGTCTGGGAGCCTGGCTAGAGCTACCCAGCACGTCTCCATGGCTCCGTCGAACCGTCAGGCTCGGCTATACGATTCAGTTCGCCCGGCGCCCTCCCAAGTTCAGAGCACCGTCTACGAGACACGTCTACGATTTTAAGTGGAACCTGTTCGTTGAGTGGTGATCTTCTCGCCGAGAAGACCCCAGGAGATGCCCGATCGGAGTTGTGCTGTCCTTCTTGCAGCAAGGGCTGGAGCGAAGGCTGTCTCCCTCCACCCTTAAAGTTTATGTCTCTGCGATCGCTGCGAACCACGACCCCTTAGAAGGGAGGTCGTTGGGGAAGCATGACTTGATCGTTTCCCTCCTTCAGGGAACGAGGGTTACATACGTAACCGAGACGTTATCATTGCAAAAAATGTTTATGTATATATATTGTGTTTATATATTGTATTCTATATGCAGTACCAGTCAAAAGTTTGGACACACTTCCCATTTGGGTAGTGTGTCCAAACCTTTGACTTTACTGTTCTATAATATAGCCTACACATAAAGAATATCGGGCCGATATATCGATATCGGTCTTTTTTTACTCCTTAATATTGGTATCAGCATCGGCCCCCAAAAAACCTGTATCGGTCAGGCTCTAGTATTTTCTTGTAAAAATGACTCCAGTAATCTTTGTTTATTTACAACTTTATTTTTCTTTATTTATCACTGATCACGGTTAATCGATTTTACAGTCCTACTGGAAATACAAAACCTATTCTCATCTTAAATGAAAGTGAAAATTGCAGTCTATATAATGAATGTCATACATTGGGGAAAAAATAAATAAAACTATAACTGATTCAATATTAAGTTTATAGAGTCAATAAAGAAATATAGCTTTTAAAAGTATTTGATTAATATTGGTATCAGCATTGGCCCCCAAAAAACCTGTATCGGTCAGGCTCTAGTATTTTCTTGTAAAAATGACTCCAGTAATCTTTGTTTATTTACAACTTTATTTTTCTTTATTTATCACTGATCACGGTTAATCGATTTTACAGTCCTACTGGAAATACAAAACCTATTCTCATCTTAAATGAAAGTGAAAATTGCAGTCTATATAATGAATGTCATACATTGGGGAAAAAATAAATAAAACTATAACTGATTCAATATTAAGTTTATAGAGTCAATAAAGAAATATAGCTTTTAAAAGTATTTGACTCTCTATTTGATTGGCATCATTGGAGCACAAATGGCCTCCATTGCCTTTTCTTAGAAATTAGTTTCTTAGCCATCATAGACAAAGATTGTCCTTACACAGAACAAAGAGCAGAGTAATTGGAATTTCATTGTCAACTCTTTTGATTATCGATTTATGGTTTAGTTGCGCCTAATTCAGATATATACAGTCGTTAAGATGGAAGCTACCATGTTTTACAAGTCTTTACCAGTTTCTCATCTTTAGTGTACATTTATTGGCTGGCTTCTGTGCTTTGGTATAGAGTAAGCCAGGCTGACAGATCCATAAAGCTTTGATGAAAATCTGAAGAAAACAAAGCATGCCTCCCAGGAGAGATCGCAAGCACCCTGAGCTTTGATTTTTTTCCCCTGCTCCATCACACAAAGCTGCACTAATACACACACACACACAGGCAGGTAATAGGAGCATTCATTTAGTATTCAGGTGGAGGCCCTGTCGTCTGTTTGTCTGATGTTATTACTTATTTATTATTCACAATGCATAAGCCGGGCTCATTGACGTACGGTGCCTCGCTGGTGGGCCGGGTGACTAAGGATAATGTGTATTCTACGCAGATAGGCGGCAGGGCCCCAGCTTCGGCTGTCCCCTTTTAATGGCCCAGCCAGATGCCAAAAAGAGGGGGATGGGGGCGATCGGACATGTGAATTCATGGCACGTCTGTTCCTGACAATGCCTCATCCCGTGTCTCATCTCCCTCCAAGACCAGTGGCTGCCACTTTGTGCTCCCTTCGCATCCTGATTGATTGACAGGCGTGGAATGGCGGACAAGTGATTATGAAGCCGATCTGTGTGTTAGTGTAGGACGAGGTAGGAGGGTGATTGACAGCTTTGTGGTGGTGCGAAACAGCCACTAGTCAAACTTTCCACACACACACACACACACACACACACACACCACCGTTTCCTGTTTTTGACCAGCAGCTGGTGACTGAAGCCCTGGGCCCAAAGCGGGCCATTCGCCTCCCGTGGCATCTTCACACCCATTCGCTTCCATCATCAACACTCGCTCATGGACAGATTATTAATATCGTAGTGGTTGTTTCCTTCCCTCAGTCATCAGGGAAGTGCATGGCTCATTCTATAATCGGGGGTACATATCACATCAATTAAACTATATTTGTTCTCTATTATATGATTGTTGGTTTCAGTTTATCTGTTTCTTCTAGTTGCCAAGCTTTAAACACCATTTCGATATTCCAAGGGAAATTAGGATTTCCCTGCGGAATTTGTCAACTGTGTAACTGTATGCCACTACACACTCTGATTAAGTGCTGCACTTGAAGTAACACATGTATTTAAAGGAATAGCTCACCCAAAAATGTGATACCCAATAAATTATGTCATTTATTCACCCTCATGTTGTTCCAAAAGCACAGAACTTTTGTGTATCTTAGCTTTTATTATACACATATAAACAAATAAATAAATGGTTTACCATTAACATAGTTGACTGGACACATTAATTATTGCACACATTGTTACCTCATGTACACACAAACAGACTAATCTGACACAGATGATTAAATAAAAAATAAAAAATAAAAAAAACACTCAATTAATTGTCAGAATTTCAAAGTCATTATTTTGAACTCGAGACCTATTTACTTCAAAAACAGATACTGCAAAAACTGCATTTTAAGGGATATCAGGGCAATTTCAAGCAAACTGAAAAATAGGATTTATAAAATATTTGTGTGAGATTATAATATGCTTTCCTCTAATGGAAAGGGAAGGAAATTGTTAGATTATTAATTATGATCAGTGGACATGAAATGTAGGCATCATATAGTAATTAGGGCAGTCAATAGACTTGACGAATTAATCACATTTAATAACGTCATGTATCCATAAATCTTGTCCGAAATACTTACTGGTGGCCCACTTTGAAAGTTAACATGACAGACTGGCTCTGTTTCAAACCCTAGTGAGCTTCCTCTCTGTCTCATGCTTGCATAGCTGCTATTTACTCTGAGACCATACCATTACTGACTCAGAATGCTGCAGGCAGAACGTCAGTGTGTTATACAAATAACACTCCTCACACAAATCATGCAGGCGACTCTAATGATTCCAGCAGAATTTGATGTCCCCCCCCCCTTCTCTGTGATTGGTCGTTGAGTTGAATATACAGCAATCACAGCTCATGACACTGGAGTTTAACCTGTTTTTGAGGCTTGATTAATTACCGTCGGAGAGCCTCTGTGCACTGCTGATGGCCGATTGACCTGTGAATGTGTGTGTTTCCAGACAGATGCTGCCCTGATGTATGACGCGGTACATGTGGTGGCCGTGGCCGTCCAGCAGTCTCCTCAAATAACTGTCAGCTCGCTCCAGTGTAATCGCCACAAGCCCTGGCGCTTCGGAAACCGCTTCATGGCGCTCATCAAAGAGGTACTGCACATCACACTGCTCATTAAGAGTGATTTGCACATAATGTTGTTTATCACAAGATGATGTGTTGTTTTAGCATTGCCTTACGGTCACAAACATACCCAAAAACATATATAAATCAATAAGAATTAAACCTAAATACCAATACAAAAATATAAATTAATGAAAATGTTATTATTTATTTATGTCCTATATTTGTTTCAACTTAAACACCTATTTAGGATATTTATATTGTATTTAAAATATTTAAAATATTACATTTAAATATTTATATTTTAATTCACATATTCCATAAAAAAAATATATTTTGCAATAACCCATCTTGCAGATAATATGGTAACACTTTATTTTGTGTCCCTGTTACAGTGTAGTTATACAAATAAGTACAGAGTAATATTAATTAACAACTTGTACTTTATACTTTTATTAAGCAAATACAAATTAACCACAAGTGACAGTAAAGACTTTCATTGTTGCAATTTATATATATATTTTTTTTTTCAAATAAAACTTCAAATAAAATAATCCTGAAAATAGTTTTTTACAAAAAATAATAAGCCTCACAACCGTTTTCAACACTGATAATAACAATAAATGTTTCTTGAGCAGCAAATCAGCATATTAGAATGATTTATGAAGGATCATGTGACACTGAAGACTGCAGTAATGATGCTGAAAATTCATCAAAAATGCACAGTTGCCATCACAGGAATACATAACATTTAAAAAATATATGAAACTATAAATCAGTTATTTTAAATGTAATAACATTTCACTACATTACTTTTTTTCTGTATTTTTGATTAAATAAATGAAGCCCTGGTGAGCATAAAATACTTCTTTCAAAAACGTCTTATCAGCCCCAGATTTTGAAAAGTAGTGTACATGTAGTGTAACAAGAACACTTTACTTTAAGAGTCCTTGCTTGTAATTATGCATAATTTACTGTTATTTCTTTAGAAAGCACATGCAACAATACATAAGGGCACTGTGAAATAAAGTGTTGCCAAAAATTGTTACCCAGATGCTGTGTTACGGACATACAGCACATTACCACAATCTGACATACTTTACTGAGAATGTACATCAGAAATCCACCACTACCAGTCATCACAATCGACTCTATTAAATGCTGAAAATGTATTCATTTTCACAGTGTGTCTGAATCTATAATGTTTTCTGCATTGATTAATACAATAATGCTGCCATCATCAATAGAACATGTGAACAAACATTCTTTTAAATAAACTTTCAGCAGGCGGTAATAACGGTAATTGCACCAGGCAAATGGCTTTATGCATAAAGTGGTTTATCTATAATAAATAAGAAAGAAGGCATGTTTGTCTTCATTGGAATACATTGTGAAAGCGCTGCAGTTTGCCCTTGCGTGTACGTTCATGAGTGTGTGTTTGCTTGTTTCTGACCTGGAATACCACTCGGCGAGAACACTGCTGCAGAAGACAGCAAATTTATCTTAATCTCTGGAAATGAATCTTCTCCGTGCTATTTTCAGGAAAACTAGGACGGCTAATCTGAACTCTCCTGTCATTCTGCTGCCTATATTTAGTCTGACTAAAAAGCCGCCTTTATTTGCTGTGCGTGATATCTTAAGCAGCCAGCTAAGACCAAAGGCAAAGCGAGGGAGATATAAATACATAAAAGCAAGGTGGTCTGCTCTTCGTAAGCCAGCACATAAATTGACTCAAATCTCTGCTTGTGATGACCCTGCCCCAGACCCCCTCGCCCTCCTTTGAATCTTCTCGGTCTAGACTACAAGTAGAGCCCGGGGCTGAAGAAAGGCTGGGAAAGCTGTACTGAGGTTTTTGTTGGAGCAGATAATTGGAGGACTGCTTAGTCTGATGACATTTCACTGGCTTTGAAAATGCCAAAGCCTTAATATAGATGGATACCTAGCACTGACCTGAGAACAGATACAAAGTTTACAGTATACGCTATGGGGGTGGGGGTGGAGGGGGTACTGCTGTGGTTGCCAGAACTTTACTCTAAAAAAAATATTGCAACATTTTAGGTTTTAATGGATTTTATTTTAATTTACAGTGATAAAGCATAAATGTATTATACATTGTTAATATTCCAACCTAGTGAAGCATTAAAATCTCTTTTGTACCTTATTATACACTGACAACCACCAAAAAACATAGGTGGTGAAGAAAAAGCCACATGTTAATGCAAAGCTCACCTTAAGTAGCTTTTCCACAAACAAACATACATTAAGACAAACAATTAAATGCTTTGGATGCATATTTATTGGCTAAGCCAGTTTTGTAGAGAGAGATCAAAATAACAGTTTTCAAGTGAGATTTGAAGCTACGGTGGAGAAAAAATATGAAAAAGAAATGGCAGCATTATTATTTTATTTTTACTCAGTGATTGGTAGGTCTGTTAATAAAAAATCATTTTACTTTTGCATTGTTGTTGCATTATATGCAAATGGTCACAGAACAAAAACTCTGAAAAAGCACTTTTCATGTTTTATTCCAAAGTTAGCATGCCTGAAATGCAAGAAATATTAAATATATCTCAATATTCTTTTAAATTCTTGTTCTTAACATTTCTTTTATCTTCATTTTTAAGGCCCTATATATTAGATTTCAATGTGGCTCCATACCCATCTTAGTGCCAAAAATATGCCTGTAACTCAAGAAGTATTAAATATGTCTCAATATAATTATTATTTTTTTTTTTATCAAAATTACATTTATTTTTGATTCGTCCATTTTTAAGTAACTATATGTTTCAGTCTCAGATATATTGGGCTCTCAGTGTGGCTCCATGTGATTTAAAACAATTTTTTTTTTTACGTTTACCCATTGTCAGTGGTCGAAATCCCAAGTAGTTCCAGGCCATGACTCATGAATGCAGGATATGAGAAGAGAGCTTTCTTTCTTTTCAGATTTTGAAGAGCCTCAGGTCTCACATGAGGTGGTTTTTAAGCTACTTCAGACAACCTTGCTTTTTCACTTGTTTGATTAGGGTGGAGAATGAAATATAGAGCAGCATTCACTCATTCAGTATTGAATCAACACTGATTTCAGACATTATTTCAACACTGAACAGACAATCATGACAAACATTAACCTATTTTGGTTATATTCTAAATTATGTAGGTATTTTTGCTTTTAATTTCATCCATTATTTAAATTATATATATATTTTTTTTTATCATGTCAGAGTAACATGTTAATGTTACAGTTATAGCAAGAGTCACATTACATTTATCCAGAATGTTAAAAAAGAAAGAAGTAGCTGTTTATTTGACCTTACATGTTAATGATAGAAAAAAGGTCATTTGAAACATTTTTGAAAAAGTTTGCAAAACACGTATGACTTGATGTGTTGCCATCAACACTGATAAAGAAAAATCTATAATAATGAATGTAGATACACTGAATATAGCTATTTTAATATCACTGAGATACTATTACAGTCTTATTAATATTTTTATTTTTATGTTTCCTGTTTGCATTTTACTTTATTTGTGCTTTATTTATTTATGTATTAGTTTGCTTGTTTGTTTTAAAATTTCTATATTATATTTTATTTCAGTTTTCTATTTATTTTTTGTTAACTATAATAACCATGCTCTTAACAAACCGATCTGAATTCATAACCTGCAAAATGGCAGTCAGGATTGTCTGTCCTGAAGATCAGATTTGAAAAACATATAAAAGTGTGAACATTACATTCTGATAAATGACGTATTTTCACTGTTTGGCCAGAAAGGAAGAATTCATCCGATGTCTCAGGTTGGTTATAATGAATATTTTTCTTACATCTCCAGGCCCACTGGGATGGTTTGACCGGACGGATAAATTTCAACAGGACCAATGGCCTGAGGACAGATTTCGATCTGGATGTGATCAGCCTGAAGGAAGAGGGGCTAGAGAAGGTGCTGGATTCCTCTGCTTTCACATGTCCTTAGTTATGTACCTGCTGTCCTTCATAAGGACACACACACACACACCCAGACACTTACTAACAGACAATAACCCCCCCACACACACACACATACGGAGAGCCTCTAAGCAAACCGTGACCTCCCGGTTGTCTTCCACATGTGTCTGCACCTTCATGAATAATTTATCCCGTTAATAATAAGGCCCTCAGTAGCCCTTTAGCCTTATGAAGACTGAATTAAACAGGTGATTTGCAATTACAAACCACAGGCCGTGCGTTTTCTGAAGTGCTTTGTTTTCTGATAGCTGAACGTGCGTGAACGTCTGCGCTTTGTCATCTTGTTTTGAGTTGTCAGTTCTCAAGAGGGTCCTCTGAAGTAAATGAGAAGGGAGGAATGGGATCGCAGTTCTCTGGTCCGCTGAAGCAATTCTCATTTACTCTCTCTCTTTTCCATCTCTTGTGCATGATAACATGGTCTTCACATCACTTCCTTTAAGCCTCTCCATAGATAATGTGTCCCAATGAGTAAAGAACCCAAACAACATTCACTGAAACTGTTATAGATTCTATGGCCATGGAAGAGAAAGTGCTCTTTATTGCATTATTGTAGTATGCACATGTCCTTAGTTATGTACCTGCTGTCCTTCATAAGGACACACACACACTCACCCAGACACTTACTAACAGACAATAACCCCCCCCACACACACACACACACATACGGAGAGCCTCTAAGCAAACCGTGACCTCCCGGTTGTCTTCCACATGTGTCTGCACCTTCATGAATAATTTATCCCGTTAATAATAAGGCCCTCAGTAGCCCTTTAGCCTTATGAAGACTGAATTAAACAGGTGATTTGCAATTACAAACCACAGGCCGTGCGTTTTCTGAAGTGCTTTGTTTTCTGATAGCTGAACGTGCGTGAACGTCTGCGCTTTGTCATCTTGTTTTGAGTTGTCAGTTCTCAAGAGGGTCCTCTGAAGTAAATGAGAAGGGAGGAATGGGATCGCAGTTCTCTGGTCCGCTGAAGCAATTCTCATTTACTCTCTCTCTTTTCCATCTCTTGTGCATGATAACATGGTCTTCACATCACTTCCTTTAAGCCTCTCCATAGATAATGTGTCCCAATGAGTAAAGAACCCAAACAACATTCACTGAAACTGTTATAGATTCTATGGCCATGGAAGAGAAAGTGCTCTTTATTGCATTATTGTAGTATTCATCCTCTTTTTGTATCATCCCATAGATTAATGAAAATATTAAGTGTTTTTTTTTTTTTTTTGCAGATTGGGACATGGGATCCTGCTAGTGGTTTGAACATGACGGAAAACCAGAAGGGAAAGGCAGCCAATGTGTCGGATTCTCTCTCCAACAGATCGCTGGTGGTGTCCACCATACTGGTAAATAACAATTGATTATTTTCATTATTTGTACGCACTTTATTTTGCCTATTTTGCATGCATAATATTTTAGTGATTGCATATGGAAATCATTTTCTTTATTAGTATTGTTGTCTGATTTACCCTGATTCTGATTTGTAATGATTTTTTACAAAATCATTAAAAACATCTTTAAAAAAATCAAATCAAACCTGAAAAAAGAAAAAGAAAAAAACACCACAAACAATAAATAAATAAATGAACAAATAAATAAATAAATGAATGAATGAATGAACAAATAAATAAATATTACATTTATTTATTTAACTTTAATTAGGTAAATAAAATAAAATAAAATAATACAAACCTTTTTTTCAGCGAAATGGATCCTGCATTTGTAGCATTGTACTATACATAGCACTATTCACTGCTCTGTTCCTGTTTTTCATGTGTTGTTATTATTTACCTCGTACATTTTAAATTATGTGGAATAGCTTTTTTAAAACAGGATTCTGATATACTGACATTAGTCTTAAAAACAGCAGACCTTGAAAAATCTGTTCACATACCATTGCTCCCTTCGCCCTCTTTTCTAAAACTTCTCTGATATTTGAAGCCAAAGGCAGCTCACTCGTGTCAGATTACGCTAGCATCGTCCCTGAGTGACGGAACACTCTGGGTCTGTGGTTTAAGGCTGTTCCAACCATTCTGGTCTCTCACCACCAATCAGGATAGCAGCTTTGTTCCTGTCATCTTTTCAGATGGCATGCCTACTGATGAAATACACTGAGAAAACTCCCAATTGTATAAGCGCACTTTTCTTTGAAGGAGCTCACTGTTTTCATTTAAGTATCACTTCTGTGAGTGAGGTGCTTTTCTCTTACAAAAAGTTCATTCAAGTGTGCTATTAGTGCACTGTAGCGAATCAGCTCATGGGGAAATATGAATAATTAAC